AACTTAACCAATGCAGTCTGAGCCGGAAAGAGAATTGATTAGTTCATCTCTCGAGTCTTTCGAATCATTCGTTCTTTTGTCACGTGACAGCATTGGATAGAGAAATTAGTTAATTTACAAGCTTCCTTACAAACGGGTGCATAGTTATTATTATTATTATCATCATTATTATAATTATTATTTACTCTTACAGTTACGTGATGCGTTTCTGGTCTCAAATTGTAGCTTTTTACTTCTTACAGTTTATAAATGTGTGAATTTCTGTCATTATGGTTCTTTTCCATAACACTGAATGTTGTAACAAAGTAAATAAAGGGTTGGTTATTATTATTAAGTCTCTTTCCAGCTCAGACTGCATTGGTTAAGTTTATGGGGCTGTCACGTGATGAACGAACGACTCGAAAAACCAGAAGACTCGAAAAAGGTGAACTACTTGACTAATTCCAGTATGAAACCTATAGGATGTTGCAGATGCGCGACTGAACGAATCACTCCCCGAGACGACTCGTTCTTCCCGAGTCACATTAAAAATTAGTTCAAAATGAACGAATCGTTCAAGAACGACCCAAAACTAGCGACGAGACAAAAACATTAAAACCCATTACAAACGAGCCATTTGTTGCATCCAGTGGGGACATAATTACGGATTATAATGACTTATACTGTCTTTTTATGCGTTGCGTTGCATCGCGCCGCGTAAACATAAAACCATGTCTGCATTTGTGTTCGGAGAAACAACAAACAACAAGTCCTACTCTACACTGCTCAAAACTCGCGTTTGAATCGTCAGTGGCAAATCCTTTAAATATAAAAAACATACTTACAGTCTGTGAGTCAGAACAGCCGGCATTGTAGTCTGCTCTACCAGGATCAGGAAACAGTCCTCCATAAAATGTGCTGCACACATCTGAATATTTGGGTTGAAGTGTTCTGGAACAGTGTTGTAAATACAACTTAACCACTGATTTCTAGTCGTGTCCTCTTTTGGAAGACCAAACAAAGTAGTTTCGCTTTCACAACGAAACACAGCGTCTTCACAACATGGCGGCAGCAACAATACTACAGCAAGAATAAAAGTTACGCCTTCTTTCTTTGCGTGAACATTTTGGCGGTGTTATGCAAATCTTCCCACATCGTGACGTAGATATGTGGGGCGTGTTAGAATGAGCTGTTTTAGGAGGGCGTGGACGAGTCTTAACTTTTGTAAAGAATATCTCTTTGGGTTTGAGATATTAATCTTTGCAACTTTAGGGATCTTATCTATTCACGAACAGCTTGTAACACTCCAAAGAGAAAGGGAAACTTGAAATCGCATCATATGACCCCTTTAATAAAATCTGATATTGCAACATCCCCCCCAACATTGATGCTTCAATTTATTGTCTAGACAATACCTTTCCTCCAGGCCTGCTTGTGCTAAATTGCATTTGCTAACTCCGCCAATGTCTTATATTTGGCATGTGTTTTTATTTTATTGTTCTGAGTTGATTGACATTAGTGACATTGCAGTTGAACCATGTCAATCTCTCTCTCCCCTGTCTGTCTGCAGTATAGTATTTCTTTATATGTGACAAGAGCAGAACTTTAGAGGTCCTGTGATGAAAGACTGTGTTACAGTTGGGTGTTTTATGTGTTTATTGATTGATTTATTATAGCTTTGAGATGGCCTGACTGTGTGAGTGTGTGTTCACTTGGTATCTTTCACCATGTTTTAGGATCTAATTGGAGGACTAAAACTATACTATACTATGAAAGGTTTCACAAATCAGAATAGTGTAGTTAAGCACTCAGTGAAGGGTTAACTGACCAAAGCTTTACTGTGAAAGTTTTCACAAATCAGAATAGCGAAGGAGTCAGGAAAGGGTTAATTGACCAAAACTGTACAGTGAAATGTTTCATAAATCACATTAGTGATGTTAAGGACTCAAGAAAGGGTTAACTGGCTAAAACTGTACAGTGAAATATTTCATAAATCACAACAGAGCAGTGAAAACGCTGAAACGTGATAAAATGCGATTGTGAAAGTTTCTTACCTTACTAGTCACAACTGCTCTTTACTCATATTATTACTAGTCAGAATGGTCACTATAGTTCAATTACAAATCTTGCTAACAACATGTGGAATAAGTACTAGAAGCTTATCAATAAGTATTACATCTATTTAATAGGTATGAGTATCTAATGAATAAGTACTAGTATCTAATAATAAGAACTAGTAAATAAATAAGTAATAGTATTTTTACTATTAAATAAAGTACTGGTGCCTAAAGAATAAACACTAGCAGCTAACGAATAAATACTAGTACCTAATGGAATAGACACTAATATCTAAAACATATTTCAAACAGTAAAAGTTAAAACAGCTTGCCATACTCATTCAGAACTTTCAGAGATTTGCCCCTACTTAGTCAGTCAGTTGACCAATCAGAGAGCGCTGAGGAACCAGACAGCCAATCAGAGGACAGATACGAGCTTTGTTGCCGAGTAAAAGAGGGAAGGGGCGGAGTTACAGTCATGCGGCGGCGTCGCGGTACGTTTGTACTGCGGAAAGTTTCCAGCTGAAATCCTGCGATATTCACAACGACATGACAGTTAAAACAGCTTTTAAGGTAAGTTTTTTACCACATAATAAAAATATAGTCGCATTCGTGACTGGATGTGAGCCGTCTGTTTATCCGAAAGGTGAATAAACGCGATTTCCGCATCAACTCAACAAACCTCAGTCAATAACAAACTTATAAAGTCACTCTCACAGCTGAAATTCACTAGAATCCTCACAAATAATAATGAGATATTGTACATTTGAACATGGTACCATCACAGTATTATTTATTTAAGTACTACTCTGAGCCGCCATGTACGTTACATTGAGTAACGTTACCATGGTAAATCTCAGAGTACCATAATATCCAGTTAGTAGTGCCACAGGGACGTCTTTAAAGGGCACATACACCGGAATCATGTGTATTTTAGTGCATAAGCACACAATAGTTATCTAAACGCTTGTATTATTGTAGGATCTTTGATAGGAATTTGGAACATTAACATTTGCTTTGACACATTTGTAAGATTCTTTCAGTCACATGGCTCTGTATTTCCCTCTAAAGAGCTCTGGTGACACATTAACCTTTATTTCACTGTCCCACAGCATCACCGGCACCTGTAGCGTTCAGAAGAGACAGAGCGACTCGCATCCCTCCTCTGATTGGACAGCAGGGATTCAGAGTCTCTGGACGTCATGGCAACAGTATCCCGCCGGTCATGGATGTGAGTGATGAGTTCGACAGCGGGATGGAGCCCACAGATGAGCTCGCGTCGTTTGAGATGGTCAACCTGTCGAACCCGGGCCTGCTGGAAGTCGACGGACACATCCAGGAGTCAAAAGACAAGGCCAAACTCAAAACCAAACTCATTTCAGCGTGGAATAACCTCAGATATGGAGGTATGTGGAGCAGTTTTCATAAAAACATGCTTTTCAGTGTGTGTTTTTTTTAGTTGTGCTGCTTCATATTTTTGTCTAAACTGTGATGTTTTGTATTTTGTTTTTACTGTCACTTTTGATCAATTTAATGTGTCCTTGCAGACTTAAAGTATGCATTTCTTCCAAAATCTTAAACTGTAGTCTATATTGTTATATCAAAAGCTGGTAGATTTCTAGTCGTTGTTGACCTTTACCTTCCTCTCTCACTAAACGACCTATTTCACTAAACCCAGATTTTGAAGTCGGGCTCCACCGCACACATTTTTCTCTTGCCTGACTCGATATGCATCCGTCATCCTCACACATCTCTGTTTCTCCTCAGGCTGGTCTCTGAAGGGCAAGCCGCGTCTCAGTAAGAGCAGTCCCGTGTGTCTGCTGGGACAGTCCTATCAGCTGAGCTACAGCGGTAAGCAGGACAGGACGGTCATGCCTGCATGTGAGTGTCGTGGTTTCACTGTAAGCGTGTGTTTTCTCTCAGGAGAGCGGGAGAGTTTTCGGTGGGCGTTCTCCTCTCTGCTGTGGATGACCTACAGGAGAGGTTTCCCTCCGCTGGACGGCTCGGCGCTCACGTCTGACGCGGGATGGGGCTGCATGCTCCGCAGCGCACAGATGCTGTTAGCTCACGGACTAATGCTGCACACGATGCCCGCGGGTACAAACACACTGCATGATCAAAATCCTTAACATTCAGACATTTTTAACCTGTAAGACATTCTAAAAGTTCAGAAAGTTTTATATGTTTTGGTATGCGATTAATTAATATTGGTCTGACTAAACATTGAAAATTGAAAATGTATGCACATCAGGACAAAAGATATAACCATTTTTGACCCAGAAGAAATTTTAAAAGTTTGTTTAAAAAAAAAAGGTAATAATTAATTAATAGTCTGGCAAAAACTTAAAAAATGTGGTTAGACTCTGAAAATACACATTTAAATTTTTTTTTTTAATTCCCAATTTTTATAAAAAATTTTAAAAAGAGATAATAACCATTTATTTATTTATTTATTTTAAAGAGATAACCATTTATGTTTATTTATTTTTTTAATTTTCAAAACATTTTTTTTAAAGAGATATAACCATTTTTGACCCAGAAGAACTGTTAAAAGTTTGTTAAAAAAAGTGAATAATAATAATTAATTAATAGATAATTATATAATTATAAATAAATAATTAATTTTTAAAGATATAACCATTTATGTTTATTTACTTATTTATTTTTTAATTTTCAAAACATTTTTTTTAAAGAGATATAAGCAGTTTTGAGCCAGAAGAAATTTGTACAAATTCTGAAAAACACACGGTTTAATATGGGATTAATTCATATTAATCTGACCAAACTTTAAAAATGTGCAAATATAAGTCATTTATTGTTTTCATATAATGATATATTTAAATAAAATGTCTCATAAACGTGGTAAAATACATATCTTTATGTTTTGTATCACAATGGTTTTGCTATAGTTTAAGTAGTATTTGAAATTTCATATTTAAATCACATTCAAATCAGCATATTAGAATGATTTCTGAAGGATCATGTGACGCTGAAGACTGGAGAAATTATGCTGAAAATTCAACTGCACCATCACAGAAATAAATTACATTTCATAATATATTCACACAGAAAAACTGTTATTTTAAATAGTAATAGACTTGCACAGTATATTATGTACAAAAGTAAGCATGCCATTCCTCTCTTCAGGCTGGACGTGGCCTGCGACCCATCATCAGACCAAAGATGACCTGGAGGTGCTGGACGATTCCCTCAGAGAGAGCCGGCGTGACTCGGGAAAACCTCGCAGACGCAGTCTGGGAACCACGTTAGACTGCGAGGCTCAGGAGGAGCTGACTCACAGGAGGACCGTGTCCTGGTTCGGCGATCTGTCCTCCGCCCCGTTCGGTCTGCACCGGCTGGTGGAGTTGGGCCGGGCCTCTGGGAAGAGGGCGGGCGACTGGTACGGATCGGCCATCGTGGCCCACATACTGCAGTAAGTGATGGATACACTGCGATTGATTCCTGGGAATACATGAACTGATCTGGGAACACATCTGCCACATAAAGTACATAAAGTGAGGAAATATGAATGTGATTGGATGAGCCAGATTTGAAGCCGATGTACTCACGCCTGCGAACAACATCTGAATTCTGTATTAATGTCCCAAACGTTTAATAGACTGACATTTGATTGCTACACTGATCAATTTACTTTTTATTGATTTTTGTTTTTATTAAATGCAGTTATTTAGTGAATAATTAATTTCAGTGTTAATTTAGTTTAAATATTTAGTTTAGTGAAGTTTAAATACATAAGACACTATGCAGGTACATTTATATTCCTCAGTGTTATTTTAGTATCATTACTACTATACTATCTTAGTCTTAATTAATATTTTTAATTGTTTTTTATTTTATATTTTCCAATTTAATTTCAGTTAAAGTTTTAGCAATTTCGTGTTTTAATTCACGAAGATTAATTCATTTTCATATTATATATTAAATTGCATGTAAATAATGAATCCTTTCAGTGATAGTTGAGGGTAAACGTTTGTTTGTGTGTTTCAGGAAGGCTGTGGCAGCGTCCGAGGTGTCCGATCTGGCGGTGTACGTGGCACAGGATTGCACAGGTCAGTCTGTCATGATTTAGCAATGAATCCTGGTCTGTTTTAGAAAGCCCTGTTCTGCGCTCATCTGGACACGGTCTTTATTTTAGCAGGAAATTGCCAGCAGTGTCTCATTACCTGCAGTTTGGCACAAGTCTTGGTTAATTTGTGTACAGACTGTAACACCTCAACTCTAAATCTCTGTGTTTGGCTGTAGTGTACGTTGGAGACGTGTTAAACCTTTGCGGGACGTCCCGTACGGATCTCTCAGCGAGGTGTAGGTCTGGCTGGAAGTCGCTGGTTCTGCTGGTGCCTGTGCGTTTGGGGTCGGAAGTGTTGAATCTGGCTTACACCCAATGTGTCAAGGTGTGTTACAACACACATGTGAAGTGTTGATGTTGTGATGGTCTGAGCTCATGTTTTCTCTCTCTGTGTCTGCAGAGGTTGCTGGAGCTGCAGTGCTGCATGGGAATCATCGGAGGGAAACCCAAACACTCGCTGTTTTTCGTGGGATTCCAGGGTGAGTCACGTGACGCGCGCGTGTGTGTGTGTAATGTATCACTCATCATCTGTGTGCTTGTTGTTTTCTGTTTCTTGTCATGCAGATGATCATCTGATCTATTTGGATCCTCATTACTGTCAAACTACGGTAGACGTCCAGCAAGACAACTTCCCTTTAGAGGTGAGCTGATATTTAAAGGGATAGTTTGCCTGAAAACCAATTTGTTCCTCCTCAAAATGTCATTCATACAGCGACTAGGGACTAAGTAAAAAAAAAAAAAAAAAAAAGGCTAAAAACTGTACTTGTGCATATTTTTTATGCTTTTTGTCCATTTTATACATCTGCTTTCATTGTATGAAAAAGAGCAACTTGAACATACTGCTAAACACCTCTGTTTCTCTTTTACAGGGTTATTATAGTAAACTAAAATGATTAAAAACTTTTTTTTTTTCTAATTGAAAATAGTTGAAATTAGTATTTTTTTGTTTAAGTTAAAGGACTAAAATGGCTAAAACAAAAAATGAACGAATACTTAATAAAAACTGTACACATAATAAAAATTTTTAAAAAGCTAATAAAATGGCAAAAACAGTACAAAATTAAAATCTAAAATTAAAGTAAAAAAAAATTAAATCAAAACAGGAAATAAAAAATATAAACTGAAAATAAAACTGTAGTTGTATTTTAATGGTTCTGTTTGACGTCTATATAGTTACTTTTAATTAATTTTAAAAATATAACAATAAAAACTGATTCAAAGTATTAATCAAAACTAGGGATGCACCGATACCGATACTGGTATCGTTATCGGGCCCGATACTGGTCTCAAGTACTCGTACTCGTTAAAATGCCTCGATACCAAACGCCAATGCCACACAGCATGTGATAAGCGCCATATTCAGATAAAGAAACACCAACAACAGACAGCAGAATGGAGTTAAGGATGTCTACTACGAAGTATATGTATGCAATGAATATAATGTTAAACATTCAGTATTAACGCCTGTATAGCTGATGTGCGCGAGCTGATAAACAAAGCACGCTGAGTGGATTGAGCAGATGCGCGAGCTTGTCGAGTGAATATATCTTTCTCACAGACATCACTGGAAAGTTTGTAGTTCTGTCGTATATGTCAAAAACAAGTAAGTAAAACAATGCACAAGTTACTTAACGGTAGGGAGAGAG